TCAAACTTTAAATTGAAAATAATTGAACTCTTTTTATTTAAACTATAAATAAGAGATTTTGAAAAAGACAACTACTTCATTCCGAGAATGTAAATTGAAGCTCTGAAAAAGGGAGATAAGGGCCGATCCAAAAAGAAAAAAAAAAAAAAGAAGAAAATGAAGATGAGGGTCAGAACTCAGATTCATGCACGATTGCACATCCATTTTCTTTTCTAAAAACATCTATTCCCATAGGAGTGAATGAGCCTCTGCTTGTGTCATTTCAGTTCCACACTGCAATTTTTTTTCTTAATGATTATTAATTATTGATATTTTGGTACATTAGAGAAGTTCACTACTTGACATTGTAAATATTTAAATCTCTTAATTTGACCCCAGATGAAGGTTGTTAAGCTAGAGGGATTAATTATTGATGCTGATGTTAGAATAAGATGGCAACAGTATAATATATAAATTAAGCCACTTTGTTTTGTGGCCTTTATTTCCTCTGCATCCTTTTCAATCTAGCAGGTTAATAGAGAAGAAATGAGCGTATTTTAGATATACATCTTTGGTTTTTTGGAGCATGAATGTTGCAACCTAGCCATTTTCTTAGTGGTCCATGACAACTATTTTGCAGTTCAAATTTAATGTGAATGAAGTTTATTGGTCCCTCCCAACATTCCGTTGTCATCCTGTCTGTTAGATCAAACCTAGAGATCACTTTTTTCCTAGATAGAGATATTTTTTAGTCTTTTTTTTTCCTATTAATGTCCATAGATAGAATATTGGGCTTGGTGGAATGAGTATTCTTTTACCTTTTCCTTCTATTGTTGCCAACAAGAAATGAGCATTAAGAAATTTAATTAGTAGTTGGGAATGGATATGGATTAATGATAACTAATTTCTTTTAGATCAACACTAAATGAGGAATAGTCTTACCCTAAGCGTTAACAGTTACTTGTAACCAAGTAAAAAATGAATGACTTTATCTTTGCAATCAAGGAAACAGTCATTCTGGGAGAGGAGGTGGGAATAGCTGTTCCTTACTCATCCCTTAATTTACAAACAAAAAAAGAAAAAAATATGATCCACCTTATTCTCTCCTCGTCTGACCATTCTTAGCCAAACATGACCTTGAGGTTGGATATGATGTGCAACCTCTTCTTTATATCTCCTCTCCCTTTCTCATTTAATTTTTTATCTACCTTCTAAGCTTCTCTAGTTAGCATTTCCTCCTTCATCACATCATACGCATGCCTGCCTCCCTATGTTGACTGCTATCTTTCCCTACCTTTTTCATGCCTTCTAAGATTTTTTAAGCTTTGTGTTGTAAATTATGAACCAGAAAACTATCTCCTAAAGGACGAATGGGAAGAAGGGAGGAGAGAATTCAATTATTCCAACTTGATTTTTCAGATGGGTTGTGGAATTTATTGCATCTAATCAACTTGCTCTTTGCATTTTTTGAAATTTGTCGTTGTGGACAACATTCCCTAACACTTCCCATCTTCAAAATTATATCAAAACATTAATGAATGCCTCAAAGTCTTCATTGAATTATTGAAAGCAAAAGTTTGTTTCCACTATTCTCTTGTCATTTGAATTTACATTTATCTTGTTTCTTGTTTCTAAAATAATGACTATCAATCCTTTTTCCCATTGAGGTCTTGGTGAGCAACCGGAGAGTCCTACGTTTGAATCTCTTCACCCTTGGTTATATCTGCATTGCGCCGCTATGTGACATAAGTAATAAGTTAATTTTCTAATATATTCCACTCTCTGAAGCATGCTACTCTAATTGTAGGGTCTTCAATCCTAGATTAGATGGTGTCATGCTAATGTAGAACTCTATTTTTGGAGGCTTCTATGTAACGCAAAGGGGCTTGTTAAGAGAGAGTCTAGTTAAAAGTTGAACAGAAGATCCAAAACATGAATCACCTTCAAGTTCAAAATCAGGAGAACAAGAATGGAATCTGAACTAGTGAGTAAAGGTAAAATGATTTGACTAGTTTGTCTAGTTGTCTATATGTTTGTCAACTTCTGTGTATTTCATGGACATCATGCTAAATTTACTTAAAGAGAGGATAGAAACTGAAGTGGCATGGCTAAGAACATTCACTAAAACTTGAAATTTATTCCATTTTTAAGACAGTTACATAATCAATTGGAAAATTAATGTCTAATGGGAACAATTTCAGCTATGATGCGCATGCAGAGATGATGAATTAATGCATGTGGAGGAAAAGATTGATATGTAGTTTTCTAAAGACAAAACCATGCTGAGCTCATGGAAAATCGGCGTGTTTCATCTCAGTTCAGCTTGTAACACTTTCACGGGCGTGAGGGTGGCTGATTTTGGAGGCTGGGGCAGGTGAGGCGGCTTTGTCTTCTGATCAAATCTGTATGCAGTTTCAGCAACTCTAACAGCTTTGTGACTCTTGCACCCCAGTATCCCACTTGGCTTGCTTTGTTGTGCTTCTTTGTCTAGGATGGATTTGGCATTGGCAACTGTTCCAGCTGTTTTTGAACCTGGAAGTGTACCACTTCCGATCAGTTTCTTTTCATCGTAGTCTGAAACAACCGAGAAATCAGCTGCGCTGGCTGTGACAACACTCCATTCAATGCTGGTCTCACTTGGTTCATAAGGAGTTATGCAGTTAGACATGCCATCAGATTCTTGCCTTGTGAAAGGCCCTTGACCAATATTGCTGGATACGTTCTCTATCTCAAAGAGGTCTGAGCTAGCATCACTCTCTATATCGTCGTCTCCCTGGCTGCCGAAGAAACCAGATGGGAGATTCGGGGAATTCGGGATTGCATCCCAAGTTAGCATTGAAAGTTTCCTCTCAAGATTAAAGGCTATGTCTCCCTTTGTCAATGAACTGGATCCAAAAACTCGAGGGGACTTCCCTGGTTGTATCTTAACTGACCCGGGTTTCGGAATTGCAGGTGCAAAGTACTCTTCTCTGCTTGATCCCACACTCATCTTTTCAATGCTTCTGCTGTCAAATTGAGGCTGCTTCCACCTATCTGATACTAAAGTCTTGTAATTCCTCCTAACAGGCTGTTTTCCATACTCTTTTCCATGATGAATCCTTCTGTTCTCAACGTTCTGATTGATAGAAACAGATTTCCCATCTGAACAAGAACCTGTACATCCAAGACCCGAGAAAAAACCCCTTGAATCAATCCTCTTCACTTTGCTTGCAGACTGGTTTCTGGCAAAACTCTGCAACAAAGCAGTGTGGCTGTTAGAGCTTGATTCGGACCTAATGCTTGGAGTTCCAGGCCTGAACCCCGGTTTCATCTGTTGTTGATCGACCTGGTTTTCTCCTCTGAGGCCATGCCTGCTTCCATGATTGTCATCAAGCCGTGAACTATCATCATCCAGCTTCATGCTGAAGTATCTTTCAGCACCAAAGACACTTATTTCACCCTCTTCAATCTTGGTTCTTTCTAAGCATGAAGGACCAGGAGCCTGAACTGATTCTGCAGGTTTATGTACAGAGATCTCCTCAGCAGTACTATTATAAGAAGAAAAAGAAACGTTATGGAGATTGCTATTACTTTTTTCACTGTCCATTCTTTGGTAGAATTACACACAAAAAGAGAATTAAAATACCAGGATTTGTTGCAGAAACCAGAAGGACGAAGAAAGAACAAACTCGACAAAGCTCAAAAGGATAGGACTTACGGAAAATTCTGATATGGTGGATGATTGGAGGTATCAGTTTGGCTTTTTGGGAAGCAAATTCAGTTACTTGTAGGGGCTGCCTCATTGTTGGCTGAAACATGAGGTCCTACAGGGTGGGGCTTGATTGGCAATTTTCATTATTTTGTTTCTTCCTTTGATCCTGTATTTGTTTTTTTCTAACTAATCTTCTAATGAGAGTATCAATATTTTTTTTTATAGAACAAATTAATTGGTGTAAATTTTTTTAAGGGAGAGAGATAAGGAGAAAAATAAGATTTTTTTTTTTTTTTTTGTATGATCACCCTGTATCCGAAAACCTATTGGCCCACCGATTAATCCGTATTCGAGATGGGTAAGACCCAATAGGCGTTAAAACTCTCCCTCACGAGTTTTAACAAAGTTGTATTTTCAAGACTTGAAACCAAGACTTCTGGTTAAACTAAAAGAATTCGTTGCTAATTCATCCACTTGCTCGTGGGTAAAGAAGGTAAGGATGAATTGTTTATATATATATATAGAAAAATAAGAGTTTAAACCTTGAGTATATAGGTGAAGAATTATTTTTATATTAGTAATTTAATCAATTGTTTTATAAGATTTTTGTGGTAATATATGTTTTTTTATATTTATTTTTTTTATAAGAAATGGAAAAATATATTAAATAATAAGAAAATACAGTAAAATCTCCATCATAGGGTATATAGCTTAAAGCATGATAGCCTAAAAACAAAATTAAAAACATAACCTATAGCATTAGTAATAGAGTTAAACTGTCTACGTGACGAATATAAATAATTAAGTAAAAAAAGTTATTTGTAACTAAAGATTGCAATCGCAATCGTTGTATGAGCTAAATAGGATTACTAATGTAGAAAGAAAGGTCACTATAAGCATCAGAAGCTATTAGACGTTCTCACTTAATTAACCAGCTTCATGGGGAAAGCAAAGGATTTCAACAACAAACAGTCCTCAACCTGTAGGTTGCCACCCAATCTATTCTTAAAAAATAATCAACAAGAAGAAGGGCATGCTCCTCCTCAGTGCAATCACAAGGTATCCCATTCA